TTTTTTTTTTGTTTAGGTTTAGGTTTGTGCTGTTTCCATTTCTCTCCCGTTGATTTTGCAATTTTCCTCCTTGCATTGTTAGTTCCATTATTCACGGTATTTTGAAACAGACTTTCATTTTTTAGGTTCAAATACATTTTTTTACGAAAAATGAAGAGGATTTTTTAACATTTAATGTACTCATTTCCCGGCCAGAAATGCTTCTGTGCTTCCTATATCTGGTTCAATTGTAATCAAATTTCCTCTACTGAGCTTCCATATTTGCCTATAATAAATGAAAAGTTATCAACCCGAAAATGTAAGAACTATTTATAAAAAAATAATTTTAGGTCATGTGGAGTTATTATCTATGTTTGCATTAACAAAGCGATGCCCTTTGATGATACCAACGTAAAACGTCTTCACGAACAGCAAATCAGCCGCAGATGGAAATTTCGCTCGAAAGTGGTAGATTCTCTATCAGAGCAGGTAATGCGGTGATTGCTTTTCACTCTACAGTTCGATTGGTGGTTTTTCCTCCCAAGTATTTAAACTCTTCAAATTGCATTTTTTTAAACAAGTACTTTTGAAAAAAATAGGTAAAGCAACTGGTAATTCATCTACTTGAGCCTGATACAAATAAGCGTTGGAGAATTGATCAAGTGGTCGACTCAGATTGGATAGCTCTAGACCCAAGATTCAAGGTTCCCACTAAAGCAGAAGAGAATGCATTGGCACAGGCTCTTATTGAAAGACGGCAATACCTTGATGGTAACTTTGCTGGCGAAATGCTGCAGAACACAGCTAAATAATCGAAATTTTTTTTAGGTATAAGTAGAAAAGGGAAGGATCCGGTGAAGTCCAAAGGAGAAATTGACGACATGAAAGTCCTTAAACCGACCACACATGAGGATCATTTGCCAAGAGTTGACTTACAGAGTACCGTTACTGTAGCTAATGAATAAAAGTACTTAACATTTTTCAATTGTTTAATTTCTGAATAATCGCAAAAGCACAAAGGAAACGTAAATGATTGAGAGCATCAATCATGAAAATATACAAGAAACACACCTCAAAGGTCTTTTGGATCTCCAACACTATCCGTATTCCCATAGAAGGTCCCTTGCTCAGAGGTCCCATTGTTAAATTCTCCCATTATAACCGCCAAGTTTCCATTGCAAAGTTGGAGTCTCGCCGTTTCGGAACTGGAGCACTTTTTTGCGTAGTAATCTTCCTCCTTTATGGTATTTATAAATAATTCATGGGAAAAACCGTGGCTGCATTCGACTGAAAATAGAAAGTTGTCTGGTGTTACAGTGATGGGTACTACAACACGTTCTTACTTTGCTCTATGATATTGCTTTCGGATTTACATGAAGGTTGGATGGGACCTCCATAATTAACCAAAAAATCTTGTTTGGCAACTGCCGACGCGAAACCAAGCAGATGTTTGTCCGTGTGATATGCTTCCACTTCTTCCGCATCATCTGCACTAAATCGCATAGATGCGGACAGTTTCTTCGGATACTCGAACAAGGGAGCTGCGACATCTAGACCTGAAAACCCATTTATTCCTGCATGGACGTTAGACTACTTTGACCAGCCTTACCAGAAATCCGGCCGACTTTAACATCGGTAAGGTTGTAGATGGTCTGTCCAATGAATGCGGATATGTGTGCTCCCAAAGAATGCCCAACCAGATGGAGATTTTGAATCAGCGTGGCATTATTTTCCAAATAGCTGACCAGCCACTCAGCAACCAAACGACCAACATTTAAGGTGGCTCTTGCGGATCCAACGTAGTTGATTGTGGAAGCTGGTTCAGCCCAATCCACCGCTAAGGTGTTTCTGATTCCAATACCATGGTAGGCAGTTGCCATATTTACTACCCAGTCGGTAGTACCTGAAATCATTGGAATTCAACAACACATTTATTCGTGTTTAGTTTCGTACCTGAAGACCAAAATCCATGTGTGATAATCACAATTTTTTGATCGGAATCTAAGTTAATTGCCTTGAGGCCTTCAGGGTCCGATAGTGTAGCTGAGTAGTTGCCTCCATCAGCTGTGTATTGGATGATTTTTATCTCGTTTAGTGACACATGGCCGGTTAATGAGAACTTAGCCACTATTACCGCTAGTTCTTTTTCGGTTGCGTTAAAAATCGAGCACAAAAAATCCTTTTGCGATGGAATATCCAAAGCGGAGTTGTGACCTGAAATTGATAAATTCAGCTTACTTCAGTTATGACTATCCCAAATCTAAGAGATATTCTCAGTATAGGAGAAGCTGATTTTAAGAGGTAATAGGTTCAGGGTTGGCACTTGACTCAATGCTCTTTAAAAAAGGCAGGTTCAAACGAATAAAGTGTAATGGATAAATCTATTTTTGTGCAGCAACGATTGATGATGAGGGACTCAAAGGCCAAATCTGCTGCTTTTCAAAAGTATTTTGAAAATCTGGATTAATTTCAAAAAAATCCTTAGGTAAGCAACCACTGCCAGAATATTAATAATAAAAAAAATGCTTGAAACAAAAGAAACCAGCAGTAGATTTGATCTATGGAATCACGTAAGTATACCTAAAAGCTAAAAAATCTCAGAAATCCCCACAAAAAGAAATATGAAAGTTTTACAAAAATATATAGTTTTAGCAACACTAAACTTTTGTAACACTAAACAAAATGTTGATTTAATCAAGTTAAACTAGACACTTACAAAAACAGAAGCTTAGTAAGAATATTGCGACTCCCGCGTAACTAGTTCGTCCCATTTTAAAATTGGCAGTATTTTTACCTGTAAACTGGTTATTAGTTATGTTAAAATAGTTCGCACTATGCTGCTTTATATACGAAATTGTTATCAACAATTTTATGCACCGGGTGGTTCACTTGCAACAGCATCATATTGACACAATGCCATAATAAATTGAGGTGATTAACATTTGCAGCTTGTCTGATTCTACTTATTTAGTAAACTTGTTTATTTAGAAAAAGACGTTTACAACCACACGCTAGAAACCACTTTATGTTTCAATCTCCAATAGTTATCAATTAAAATTTGTTGAGGTATTTTAATAATTTTCATTTCAATGCTTTAACCTTAAGGAGTCCGAAGGAATTTTTTCATACACGCAGAAAGCATACATTTTTTTATATTTAATCAACTAAAAAAAATAAAAATGAACATTTTATGAAAAACTCGATTTTTTAAAAGTACGAACAATGTATGTATTTTATTATACATTTTCATAAAATTCGGCCAAAAAATATGATCTATTTTTATAATGATATGTTACTTTTGTTATTTATGTGCAGTTTTTTGCTCCCAAAGCTTATCGCGTCTGTTTCCAGATATTTCAATATTGAAAAACGGACGAGTGTTTTTGAAAACATTGTTAATATTTTTAATTATAGCGCTGGAACTGCATTATTTATATTTATATGTGACTTAAATGACAATAAATGCTGCGCTAATAATTAGAACAAGGACATTTTAAACAAAGTCGAATAAAAAAATGATATGCTGTTATCTACAAATGCATGAAGTCTATATCTCATATTATTGATAAAACTTGTCAAAGAATCCCCAGAAATTGATAAAGAAAGCGGTTTATTGAAACAAAAATTGAGTATCGCAAGTGCATTATTATACAGTAAGGTCTCGTAATGTGAACTAAGGATAAGGGTGTTCACACGTTTTTGAATAATTCATATTTTGGGATATACATATACATATTTTGGAATATAAATAAACATTGACTTATTACTAAAATCATACTTTTATTGCTTATGCGGTGTAGTAAAATAATCTAACAAACTTGTTTGTCGGAAGGTTTGATAAGCTGAAAGAATATGGAATTTTCGAGTAATTTTTGTACTCGTTTATTACGATTTATTATTTTATTTATAGCATTATGGCTTCCGTATGAGTAACGCTACTCATAATGCGGCAACTTCTTCCATATTATGGACAGTCATCAGATCTGTGATATCTAAAGGGTTTTGATTGTTGTAATCGTTCGTAACACGTATTTCATGTTGGTCACTACATTTTCATTAAAACTTAAAATTTCTTTATTCTAATTTATTTTCCTGACTGCGTGTATTTGTTTTAATATTCTTATCTATCCTGGGTCTCAGTCAAAGTGTGAAGTAAAAATGCTGAAACATTGTTTATTTCATTACGTTTCGGCGAGACAACAGCGCCATCATCAGATTTAAAATTTACACAAACTCATGATTCGTAAAAATCAACGTTCTTTTAGGTCTTTGCCTCCTTGAAACCTTAAATTTGTCTTTTTTTACAATTTGACAAACAAAAACAAAGACAAATTTAAGGTTTCAAGAAAGAAAAGACCTAAAAGAACGTTGCTTTTTACCAATCATGAGTTTGTGTAAATTTTAAATCTGATGATGGCGCTGTTGTCTCGCCGAAACGTAATGAAATAAACAATGTTTCAAATTTTTCAAAATTTCTTGGCAAATGACTGCTAGAGGCTTGCTATCGCCAGCGTTGTGTTCTGCTGGGCATTTAAGAATATTTTTCCAGTACTTCTGAATTGTTGCAGGATCTAATTTGCCTCAAGCTCTCTTTAATTTTGAGACTGGATCTCTCCGGCTTTATTCATTTAAAACAGCATTTAGATCTTCAGTAGTCCAGTCAAATTAGTGTTTCACCTAGGAATTCAACATAACAAGCTGTAAACTCGTATAAACCTTTATCTATCCTAAAACTTGTTCCAAAACCTACTTATGATAGTGCGGACGCGACTGTAGATAAGGTCAAAGGTGACAAACACTTATTTTTGCGCATTTTTTGCAAATATTTCGTTTCCTGTAAGTTTTACGGTATTTGAATTGATTATAAATATTGTAGCCGATTAAATTCTCTACAACTTTTGTTTCAAACATTTTTCTATACGTTAAACCGTTTTAGAAAATAGAGGGGCGGCGAGTGCGCAGTGCTTAACTATATACTGGGTTATTCATTGAACTTTGGACACCCCGTTTGAACATGCAATTTGAAAATTAGAGAAACATGAAACATCTAGTTTATTTTAAGATAGCACCGATTGATACAAGGTGTCTCAAATTAATGTGACCCATCAAACTTTATTTTAAATGGAATGCCGTACTTTCTGTTGCAGTTCGTGTTCTCAGGACATCAATATCCAAAATAATTCAATTCATATTCCTTATCCCGTTATTTTATCGCATTTGCCGGGCTCCGTTTATGGATTAATTTATATCCCATAGAGATCAGTGAAAGCCTTTTTGTTTTATGTGATGTCTTATATAAACTGTATCCTTGAACTGTAACGTTTGTTCTTCACGGAAGTCCTGCGACGCAGGACTTCTGCAGAAGGTCAAAGCCAGTACATCCATCTAGGCGTCGGGACGCGCTTATTCCTGAAACTCACATTAGAAGTGACGCACTCTGTGAACTGATGGTGTGAAGAGAAGACGCTCAAGTTTTTAGCAGGAAATTTCGCGCGTGCTTTAAACCACCTGTTACTTGTTGCAGGACGAGCCTGATTTGTGCAAATATTTCCTGGTAAATTTATATTTTAATTTCGTGTTGTATTAAAACAAATATTTTACTTCACAATATCTAATTTATTTAAAATTTAATTCCACAACTTTTGCTTCTGTATTGTGGTTTGTGTTTTTGTCACAGTTTGATTTATACATACTTTAATATGGTAAACAGTCTGTTTGGCTTCAGTGTTTTCCAACGATTTATTTGATATAGAAAGTTTTTTCAAGTCGTTTAACCTGAACTCTTAATAATTCGTATTATTTGATTACACTGATTTATTTGTTTTCTTCGATATTTTGCTTCCTGTATACATTATTTACGAATTAATATTCGTTTCGTTTTATATTCAATTTCTTGGGTGTTTTAGAACATACAAGGTTCGATAACTGTGATAAATGTCAGGTAATCATGCGAAATGTATTTGAGGAAACTAATATTACAAATTAATGTGAGATTTTCAAACGTGTTTTACCCAAAAATGTGCAATTAAAAAAAATGGACATCAAAATCGGACACAATTTTTTCAAATTTTGATACACATATTTTCAATGGCCTTCAGATCAGGGTGCAGGGGAGGCTAATCTAACGATTGAGTCTGCAGCCGAAGGAAATAAATTACAACGATTTCCTGGTTGATTTATTTAAATATTTTTCAATATTTTTAAAGTCAGTTGGTATTTTTTTATTTTTTGAAA